GATTGCATGCTCCCTGGTTGGTCGGTTTTCTTTCGGCCATAAACCTGTATAGGCTTTTGGGGTTCACGAGAAGCTTATTGGCGAGGTCTCCCTGAAATGTCCTTCTATCGCTCCGGACTCGTATGTTACATCGATTCCTGAGTTCAAGGTACACTTCATATTCGGGTTGACTCTTCGATCGTCGCCACGCGAACCAGGCTTTTCGCTTTGCCTGCAGAAGGCGTTGTGTCCCCTTTTCAGCCATGATCGTTGCTTCCTAGCTTTTGGTGAGACTAAAGGAACAGTGTCTGAGACCGCCTGGTGAATGATCTCCTTTACCACTCTCCAGTGTTCTTCTACTGTTAGCTCTGTCCATTTTTTAGGCCAGTTTGCTTCAGACAGAAGTCTTCGCATTTTGGTGTAGTTGGCTTTGTTATAACACAGATAGGGCTGTGTATTGTCCCACTGTAAGCGCTCGCGGAGGACTATGTCGAATACTATGACCGCGTGGTCACTACTACCTATGGGAGTCGTGATCTGAACGTTTTCCACTAGTAGCTGGTCACTAGTGAGCACGTAATCCAGTCTAGAAGACTTCCCATCAGGGCCCCATCTAGTATCCATCTTGACATTTTCAGTGAATCCAGCCTTCCTGATGGTATGCAGCAGATTTCGATCAAATCTATCATGGGCTTTTCCCGACACCAAGTTAAGAGATGGGGCATTGAAGTCACCAGCTATGACAATTTGATCATAACCCATGTCTTGAGTTGCTGAGATTGTATTTAGCAGTACCTGGTTGTGGTCTGCTCCACATGAAGGTGATCGATAAATGCTGCCCACTAGATATTTGCAGTACCCAACGGTGAAGTGGCACCATATGGAGTCAGGGAGCTCTGTGAGGGGAGGGTCCATCGCGTGAACACATCTGAGCTGTTTGTCGACGTATATGGCGACTCCACCTCCTTCTTTCAGGTCCCTATCTCGCCTGACTAGGACCATATCATTTATACTGACTTCGCTGTCTGCCACCGTAGGGGTTAGCCAGGTTTCCGTCAGTATTATGATTTTGGAGTTTAGTTGTGATTGTAGGTGTCTAAGTTCAGCTATTTTGCCTCTTAGCCCTCTCACATTACTATACAGGCAACTGGTAGTCAGTCTCACCACTTCCCCGTATTGGGGGGTAGTTGACTTGATATTGGCTATCGGTTGAGGAGTTATCCTACGAACTAGTTGGCCGATTCCCCAGGAACCGGCCTGTTGGCGTTTTTTTCTTCTAGTTCAGTTGGAGCACTCGGATGACACTGGCTATCATCGTCCGTGCTGCACCGCTGTAGTGTGACTAGGGGTTGAGGATTTTCTTTTACTACGCTTTGTTCTCTCCTTTGAGTGCGAGGCCGGCTCTCGCAGCAGCGAATGTGTTTGCTGACCTTGTCCTTGGTCTCGTACCATCTATGGAGAGCGGTAGTCAACTGGTCTTGGGAGCTGAACTTGACAGCTAACAGACGTGGCGAGTTAATTGACATAAGATGAGTGGGTCGAGGCAGTCTATAAATAGAGACAGCCCCTGAACTTCCCAGGGCCATCTGGGATGCTAACCATCTCCATTGTTGTACATCATGACAATGCTTTTCGCAGGCGTTCCCAGTTACCAGTTCGGGAATGCCATGCACAACCATGGAGGCAGAAGGAATGAGCTCTGGCGACTCCCTCGCCATTTGTCTTTCCTTCCACGGCCTGTCTGGCTTAACACGTATGTTACAGGCCCTCCCTATAGAAAGGACTTGAGAAGCCAGTAACACTTTTTCAACATCCTCGGTAGAGCCCAATGTTACCCTCAGTGGGGATGGTTTGCCTTCAGGTGCAGCAGTGCCCCTATACAATCTGCATAGATTTACTGGTTGGATGTCCAAACCCAGTGTGCTACTCAAGATGGACCACTGTTCCTGATCAAATAGGGCCCTATCTTTCAGCAGACTACTGCTACAGTCTGGTACATTAAAGAGGATTACACAATTTGATCTGCTAACCGTGGGCTTGGGCTCGGTCCTCGCACGTTTGTGATCACCTTTAAGACCGTTTTGGTTTGACTGGTGCGACTGGGTATTTTTATGTGTCTCAGTGCTATAGCCAGCATTACTGGTAGACGGTTGGGGTCTTTTTCCAACGACGGAAACCCGTGGTTCTCCAGCCTCTGTGTCTGGAGCGGTTATGGCAAGAGTTACAAGTTTAACCGGTGAGGATTTTGGTATCCCCGGTTTACGCGCGTTTGTACTAACTTCCGGATTGGTGGGGGTCGAGCTTTTCACCTTTTTCCCCGCTACTTCTGTGCCATCTTTAGTTTTCAAAGGACTACGCGAGGCTACATCAGGACGGCAACTCGGGCATATGTACCAGAACCATTGGCATGGGTTTTTACGCATAAAGTCATAATATGCTTTTGGTACCCCACTGTCGCATCTGCAATGCACCCATCGGTTGCAAAAGTTACATTCGAAAGCAGAGTCTGCTTGTTCGACAACAGAAGCACAGACCTTGCAGTCGTCTGTCTTCTTGGGGAGCGTTCTTGTCGTCTTGCGACGTCGTGAACGTTTCTTTTTGGCCTTCCTATTTGTTTCATGGTCTACCATGGGGATGGGTGTTATGAAGTTCTCACTTAGTGCAATTTTCCCACTCGGATCTGTTAACCTAGTCGTGTTAACAGGGGTGGAGCCACATCCACTTGGCTGACTTTGCACAGCTTCACTGTAGGACTGTGGCGACATGGGTAATCTGTACGAGCTGGGAATATTAGCCCTGGTCTTCAGGACCGGTATGCGTGAGTCCATCACCTTCTCCTGTTTGCCTAGTTTGGCTGAAGCCCTGGTAACTACAGAGTATGATGTCCCATTACTTATTTTAGGTTGAGAATCTATTGTCATTTTACTCCTAAATTAATACTGGTGATTAAATAATAAGAGACTGTTATTTTGTCCAATAGACTTACAGCAAAAGACAATAGAGAGCACAGAAAAGAAGGATAAAGTATGTAAGTAAAAGCTTTAGACTTTACCTGTAACTTTCGGGTTATTCGGTTTCACAGCAATCACGTAACAGACCCACAAGTCCTGTATATTTGAAAGAGTGAGGAGGGTGTTGCTACAGAAGTAGCACCTGAAGCTTTGGCAGTAGTTCGAGACAGCGGGAAGTACCACACACAGGCTCGGTGAGGAAGAAATGGTTGAATAAAAATTCGCCGGATAGGAAGATCAGGTTTCCCAAACGAATAATTCACAAAATTGGATATTTCCGGTTAGGGAGGAAAAGCACGTCTTATTCAAGGAGCGCGCTTAGTTGTGTATCACCAATCACAATATGCATACGTGACCTTGAAGTGCTCAGCCTCTTCATAAGGTCGTGTGTGCCTTTATCCATTGCCGACCTACGATTACTGATTATATTCTTGAATGTGGCGAAAAGGATCATCCAAGAGAACCTATAGGCTGAGAGAACGGGCATAGATGAGACTAAGGAATAGACGCCAGAAGGTCTGGACTTCGCGGATGATTCACATCAAATGTCACACAAGGCCGAAGACTTATAGGCTCAAGCTAGCAAGTTGGTAGAAGTGGCAAGGAGTACAGAACGTTGAGTGAACAAAGAGGTTACAGAGGTAATGGGGATGCTGGACCAGCCAAAACAAACATCGATTGCTATTAACTGGAGATATCTCGGTCAAGTTATGTGGTTGGCTGACCTTGGCCATACTGTTTCAAATACAGGGGACACAGATGCAGGGGTTAGAGGTAAGGTTGGAGAAACAAGATATATTTTTATCACTCCAGAATCAGTGTAAAATCTACCGCAGTCCGATTTTTTAACACTGATAATAATAATAATATATTCCCATTTTTTGTACATAAGGGACTCCGGTTGACAGGCATCATGAATATGGTAATAATGTATATGTGGAGTAAGTATGTTTTCAATTTTTCTTACAGCAGTTGGTATCCAGTTAAACGTACAGAGAAGTATTAATGATTCAGCAACTAGTGGATTTCCGATTCTTTTCGGTCTGGAACCAGAATGACTGCGAACCAATCCATACAAAATGTCGAATGAAGCATGCAGGAGCAGAATATTACCATCGAATGAGTCAGTGGGATCTGAAATCAGCTGTCAGCATGTTTTCTTTGCTTCTTAGATATCCAGGGTTGTTGGCGCCGTATAAACAGTGATTTGGATTTGTCCTCATGATCAACATGTGGATAAATATCCGGATGTGTACTATCTCTTGTTTACCATTCGGATTTAGTTAATCGCATCTCCTGTAGGGCTTGGTTACTCTACAACTTTGACATACTTCGCAAAGTGTCGCCGTGATTATGGAGAGTGTACGTATGCCTTAAATGCACTACTTAGTTGACTCATACCTCCACTGAGTATATACAACGGCAACAGTGGATTTATGCAATTTCTCGCCACTGTGGGTAGAGCGTCACCGCATTTTTTAGCAAGTGGACTATAAATAATGTCAAGTGACTTACACCTATCCATGTGGTGTTGTGGTAAGTTTTGACCTTGTTTTCAAATATTCCATTCGTATTTCGTCTATGACTCACCCTTTGTATCAGGTAGACATAATTCGATGAAATACCATGAGCAAGAAGCTTGAAGCTGTTAGGGAAGAGCTAGCTATATTGTCTTTTTGCCTATGCACTGAACAGCTCATACATTTAAGAGGTATGAGTAAGAAAAGGTGATCTACAAATAATTATCAGTTTGGGATCAAAAAACTTTTTCAATGTTTGGTCAACTGTAGGGAGCCTACGTTAATTTTGCTCTTCAGTTTCTCCCCGGTTACGGATAGAAGAAATGTGAATGCAAACAAGGCACTAAAAACTCACTTAAAATACTCCAAGTGGAGAACCAGATAGTTCACAGATCAAAGCTTCCGATTCAAGAATTTAGGCTTCATGATTGATGCTTTGTTTCAACTAATCAAACTCGTTTGATAGTCAGGTGACGACCTTGAGTGTCTAAGAAGAAAACTTCGTTTTCGCGGGTTTGTGCATATTATAACATATCGTAGGTATAACTGTATTCGTTATTTAAAGTATTAAGACTTTTTCTCATACTGTTTTGAACTTTGATTAATTTTCTCAGCTGTTAATGAAAACGTGTTGACTACCTAGTTTAAATAAAGTATCACTCTTCTTTTTTTTCTTCTTTCTAACCTCTGAAATTCTCTTTCTGAAGTTACTGTATGCATTGCAGGTTATTATACTCTTTAGGACACAAGCGTGGATAGGTATACTAATAAGTGTACTATTTTACATTATATAGTGTAAAAGTTTACCGACTATCTGTAAAGAAAAAAAATAAATGTATACATATAGGGAGAGAAAGTCTAGTGAACTGCATGTACATACTGTTGCGATATATTATGCACTATTTATATGCATTATGCCGACATTAAATATTCGGGTTGCCAATTAAAATGAATCGGAACGTCCTTAGATTGTGTGGCTCTGTAAAGTTCACGTGCATCAAAGCATGTCCTACTAAAGCAGCTACACTGCCGTTTTAAAGACCAAGAAGGAGGTCATAGTGGTCGTCTGTATATAGCTAGCTACGTTTTTCCTTACCACATGCTATAGATTAGACGACAGGAGAATGATGGTTTACTGAAACGAAGGGTGGAATGAAACTAATCCTGCAGACTTCTGACTTTATGCATATGAATCCTCATAGTTTTGACTCGTGAACATGATCAGAATAAGTTGAAACTTATCCAGTTTCTCAAAATTTCGTTACATTTTAACTTTATTTCCAATTTGTTGCTAAAATAAGGGCTTTTACCTTTTATATGTTGGGCTTTAAATTATTGAACATAATTTGATGAATCCTCTTCATTCAGCGGAGTTTTGATTTTGCTAACAACAACATGGAAATGTCAATTCGCAGATATATTTTTCGCTCCATCCACTTGCATTGGTGACCAGTTGTGTGGTATGATTTCCAAATGTCGACACATGCATAATGAGCTAGGGTTAGATAATGCTCTTCACATCTCTCATTGCAACTGTCTTAAATTTTAAGGTCTTTTTATGCTAGATGCCCGTAAACTATGAGGTATTGGATTGGATTTCTGCTTTCTCCTCGTCTGACAGTGAGATCGAAGGGTATCAAGGCCTTCACAGTGAAGAAACCTCCCTCAAATGCACATGAATATGTACGTAGGTGGCATGAATTTATTTTTAACTACCTTTGGATTGGCACTAACCTATTCCAGAAGTGGTGTACATCATACGTATTTGCATGTGGTCTCTTGGACTGGGGTTTTTAAAATTTCATCTTATTATTACCTATTATCACTTCTAACCAGTTTTTGTTGCACAACTGACAGTTGTATTCTTATTGAGACTAGTATCATTGAGGTTTATTCTGCATCGGCTTTTAAAAGTAGAACATACAGATGAAGAATGTGGAAAGCATTATTTTTGTGTTATTTTATATTTGGTGTTGTGTTGTATTATATTGCTGGGGTAGAAAGTTTCCCTGAGTGGCTTTATGTCGAGCTAGTTGTTGTTATGTTTAGTAAATAGCTGATATCTATGTTATGTCACGTGGCTTAGATATATTTTTTGCCTCGACATTATTGTCAGATCATATTGTAATTGTATAATTAAATTCTGTAGCCAATTCGAATTTTTCCTTCTAAGTCTGCTTTTACTTCTGCTTGTGTGCTTGTTTGCATTTAATATGTACCCAACAGTTTAGTTTAGTTTGGGTGTTTTTACATGCAAAGTTTTGGTGTTTTGGAAACTATTACCTTCCTCAAGTTACAATTTGCAAACAACTGGGTTTTAATAAATGCGATCGATCAATAAGTCGATGAAGACTACTAATACATTCACGCATAGTAAGGGGACAGAGTTAGCGTTTACGGTTAGATAGTTTTGTCATTAGGTGTTAATAATGGAGTAGTCAAAATAAGGTAATGGAATGATACATTCTTGTGTATTGGGTGGTAACTCACGAATCGACTGTAGGTGTGGTTTCTTCGTTACCTAATTATGCAAAATATAAACCTCGTAACTTGTTGACCGAAAGTTAGAGTCTTAATACTACTAATCATCATTCTGTATGAATATTACAAATTGCCTTTATTTTGTTTTTACTTCTAACACTTTCTGTGTGTTCAACTGTACCACTACTTGGTGTCACTTGTAATATGAATATATATATTTATTTTGGTGATTATAAATGTTATTTATCAAATTTTTCTACATATTTACAGTTAAACCAAGTAGGGATTTTGTTTCCTTTAGTCTACGCTATTTGTTTACTGTAAATCTAAGGATCTATGGGGATTAAGTGGATCTAATGCACACATATATGTGACTAGCTATTACACCTAAATTACTGCATAGTGTTAATGGCTTGTTAAAAATGCATTTGAAAGTTTCACCTATCCCTATCAGATGGTTAACTCTCATTTACTCCCACTTCAACACTAAGTAGACAAATACAGGTGGGAGAGCAATGTAAGACTTAAAGTAATCGGATATCAGTTCAATCTTATCTCATTTACTATGTGTCATGAAAAAACGGCAGCTGGATAGAGATAGAAAATTAATTCAAAAAGACATACACATACTATTAAGTAGTTCTGAGTTCGTTGAAATTCTGACTTAGTAAACAGTTAAGACCCAGTTAGTTGATGATATATATATATCTTATATCCCCTTAACTATCCCTAATTTGTCGGGTATCTTTTGTAAAGAAAAATTTATTAAATATTCCCATAATTTATTCAGAACAAATATTTAGAGCGAAAAATTGTTTTCAATAAATTCTTCCTCCATCAGGCTCTACAATTATAAATCCATTGATTTAAGCATACAATAGCTAGTCAGTAAAGACAAATTAGAATCATATCAGAAAGTGTATTGTGGAACAAGCATAAGATGGGATAGAACAATAGTCAGTCGGTTTTGAATAAGAATGGTCAATGAGAACATGGGGCGAAATGAGATGAAGTATTTTAATTTAATGATGTTTGTATATATATATATATATATATATATATATATATATATATATATATGGTCACAAGAAAATACAGGTTTCGAGAGTGAGTGTAATCAGGGTATGTGAGATAATATGAAATAAACCAACGAATGGGGCGGTCTAGACATAAGAATGATTGTAAAATAATAACGATGACATGGTATATCGGTGAATGATTGTCAAATGATAATAATGAATCCAATGAAGTGGAATGAGCAGGATTTTGTAAATACGATAGCAAGTTAGGAAAGCACTACTTAAACCTAAGGTAATGAAATCATAAGAAAGGTCATGAAATCATAAATGTCGAAAATGAATGTTTGTCAATAAAACAGAGGATATAAGAAGAAAAGAAAAGAAAATTGTGATAGGAATTTATAATGTTAATGTTTAGGGAGGATTTGCTAGCTTTATTGTAGGCCAAGGTAAACATAGAGGTTGTACATACTTCTGCATGCAAAGAGTTGGTATTTTCTGTTGACTATATTTATATATATACACACACATCATTAAATTAAATTACTTCATCTGTCCAAGTTCTATTGTCCTATGTTCTCATTGACCATGCACATTAAAGAAAACTGACTATTGTTCCATCCTATCTTATGCTTGTTTCACAATACACTTTCTGATATGATTCTAATTTGCCTTTACTGACTAGCTATTGTATGCTTAAATCAATGGATTTATAATTGTAGAGCCTGATGGAGGAAGAATTTATTGAAAACAATTTTTCGCTCTAAATATTTTATTCTGAAAGACATATTAAGAGAGAACTAACATAGCAACACTTTAATCAGTGAGTGAATAGCTTTTTCATGCCTTTTATCGCTTAATAATAATAATTGTTGTGATTATTATTACCACTATTATTTAGTTTCTGATTATTTATTTAGAAGTTATTTATATAGAAGGTAAGCTTGTTTTACAAAAGGGAATGTTGACAATTTCATACTATGTTAAAAGTGTTTTTTTTCAAATAGAGTTATTATTATTTTGGCCATTTTAAGGAATAGGGATTCAGAGAAACAAACGCAACAATGGCCTCGAAATGAACAGTCAGGACAAGTTAGCGAAATCAAGTCTAAGACAATATATTCGTAGAAAAATGGTAAAAAAATGTGGGCATATTAAACTGGGAACATGGTTTGGGTTGTCTAGGGTTAGGTAAGAGCCAGGTTAGGTATATATTGGAGGTTGGGTTTATTTTATTTATAGCTTTGTTTACAGCTTGATTCCACACCGTATTTTTGGTACAGATATGGAATTTTCAGCATGTGATATAGGTAGCCCAAATTTTGTAGGCCAACCATTGATATCAGGTGTGCGTCGGCAGAGGATCTGACCATGGACCATGTGCATGATTGGCGAGAGTCATAACCGCTGAGCCACCGATGCACAAAATTGTGCCTCCCCACGGAAATCTTTAGTAAAAGGCGGAATATTTATCCGCAAATGAGGAGACACCAGAGTTTAGATTATGTTGGGGGGAAGATTAGGGTTACCGCTCACTTAAGGGTCCAAATTTGCCTTTTAAGTGAGATTGGTCATTTTTCAGTCGTTGGTGCGTTTGTTCGTATGGATTGCTATTCTTTGACGTTGCCATTATTGTTATTATAAGCGCTGCGTTTTAATTTACTTATTTTTTTTTTGAGGTCATTATAATTGTATAATTTCTAGTTTTTTTAATTATCTTTTTGACAGGCGAAAATCCAAATTCATCCTGTAAATAATTTTACTACAACTATTGAAGAAAACACTTTCCAAATGACAGTCTCTAAACTTGTAAATCATCTTTTAGAGAATTCAAATGTTGTAAGTTGTCATCTAATTAAACTAACCTCTTTAACTTTGTATTATTAGAGGAATATTAACTCTCCAGCAGTTCTTATAAAAAATATTAAAGTTGTTCGAAAAAAATTAGAGGTACTTATCACTAGCGGAGGTGATAAACTGTAAGTTCATGTTTGTATGCATGATTTTATGAATAAATAATTTTCTATATGAGATACAATTAGATGCACTAGAGTATGCAGTAAATTTCAGACACTTTAAAGGTGAACACCTTTAGTATTCGAATTTGTACTGGTGTAACAACAGAAGACAAGGGCCAGGAAACACATATTTATATATTTTCATATACATTATTATAGTTTATTCTAGCAAACAAACACAGTCTTCTGATTGGTTGTTTCTCACAGAAAGTTGACTTTGCATCTATTTATGGCTGTTTCTTGAATGTCAGATCATCTATATTTGCAATTAATAGTGTTCTCTGAGCTGGTTGGTTTAGTTGCGGAGCTTTCGTCGTCTTTCTGGACATCTTCAGCGCAGTATTTAGGGTAACGTGAAATGATTTAAATTTCTTCATCAGTGATATAATTGCGTGTCCTGGTAACCATCTTTAGATATGTATTGGTTGGGATGTCGTCCAGAAAGACGGCGAAAGCTCCGCAACTAAGCCAACCAGCTCAGAGAACACTATTAATTGCAAATCATCCACCTGAGTTACAAATCTTTTCTATTACTTCAAGATCATCTATATGTTAACTGTATCTGCCTACGCAGTCTGCTGTGACAGATGGACAGTGAGTGGTGGTGTTCCCACTGAGACTCACATCTAGCATGAATAACACGCCAACGTCTTATTCATTCGGTCACTTGGGCTAGTCAACATACATCAAATAACATAATGTTGATCCTTAGACATTATGAAATTGTCCGTACTAGGAACCTGGCATGTCAACAAAGACTGAACATTTTGGTTTGATATAATCAGTCTACGAGAAATACAAAATTAACTTAAACATAATACGATAATTCACTCTGAAATGAAATCACTCAGCTCAGTAAATACAGTTAACCGTACAATAATTCCTGAAGTATGTTAGGTATTGATTTACCTGATAGCGAATTCCTTTATTCTCAGAGATAGTTTCAATACCTAGATGGTTTTTGTGGAAATCAGGGCTTTCGTTCTCGATTTAGTCATTACTATCCACTACAACTCGCCTAGGAATACCACTAACAGCATGCACAGAACTGCCAGTGGACACTAGTCCTCCAACAAAGTCGGAAACCTTAAAATGCGATACAGCTACTGAAGTCCGGGAAGGTAGCAGGGCCCGGCAACATTCCCCAGAAGCATTGAAAACTAACCCAGAGACTGCAGGGGATATGCTGGCACGATTATTGCAAATGGTTTGGAAAGAACGAGAGATGCCTACTGATTGACAAAAAGACCACCTTGTGAAACTACCCCAAAGAAAGGCAACTTAGGTCTTTGCAATGACTCGCTTGGAATCATGCTCTTGCCAACCAACGCCGAGTGAAATACTAAGTGGCCTAATCTTGGCGGAAATAATAGACGCAATGGATGCAGAGCTCCACCAAAAACAACGTGGATTCAGGAAAGGCAAATCATGTGGTGATTAAATTGCAACTCTACACATCATCATCGAACAAAGCATAAAGTAACAGTCTCAAACATGTACTTTAAGTTCATCGATTTCAAAGAGGCCTTCTACACCGTTGACTAAGAAGTAATCTGGAAACTGCTTCAACACAACGGCGTGCCCAAATTTTTATCAACCTCATTCGATATGTGTATGACAATGCCACATATCAGATGATCTACGATGGAAAGCTCAGTGAAGCTTTTGAAGCGAATTCGGGAGTAAGACAAGGTTACCTATCGTCACCGACGATATTCCCAGTTGTGCTGGACTGGGTTATGCGTCAGACTGTGGGGAGCGAGAAGACAGACATGTATTGGACTGATAAGACGAGTGTAGAAGATCTGGATTTCGTGCATGGATGATTTGTGTTTAATGTCCCACAAGCTCGAAGATTTGCAGGCGAAAACCGATAAACTGTCTGAAGAAGCGGGTAGCGAAAACAGGACTCCAAGTGAACATAGAGAAGATTGTGATAAAGATAACCAGCCAACAGCACTAACAACCAGCTCCAATCACCCTCAACGGGAGAGATTTTACAGAGGTTACTTCCTTCACTTATCTAAGAAACATGGTTTCAACTACAAGCGGAACGGATGAAGGTGTCAAAGTCAGAATTGGGAAGGCCAGATACGCCTTCATCAATCTGAAACCAATTTGGAAATTTTCTGCACTCAACATAAGGAACAAGATTCGCATTTTCAACACCCATGTCAAGTCGGTCCTTCTATACGGGTGAGAAACTTGGCTAGTGTGTCACGAAAAGGATTTCCAACAGGCTGTTGCAGACTTTCATCAACAGCTGCCACCTTCACTGTCTGGCTCCATACTGAAGATCAAATGGCTGGTCAGAAAGAATAAGTAACAAGAAACTCTGTCTGGGAACAAACCAACCGACAGTTGATTGCTCAACAAATATATAGGATAAAATGGAGATGCATTAGGCATACTCTGAGGAGACCGTTGAATGACATCACGCGCAATGTTGGCCATTGTTTGAGTGGAAGCGATGAGTGGGTCATCGGTACGAGGATGACATGGAGGAGATCGTGTGGCGGTGAGGAGGAGGAAATGAGAGTTTATGGTCAATTTAGACCCAGGTGAAGAGGAGAACAGCAAATAGGACAATGTGGAGATGTGTTGTTGACGCCCGATGTTCCATTCGAAACCGAAGGGAACAATACTGATAAACATAATAATGTCTACTACAGAATAACCTGTATGAGATACCTGTGTGACAACGTATGTGTCAACAATTTCTGTTCATGGAGTATACACATTGGATCATAGGAATTATTGAAAAGACAGTTGCAGCGAAGAAAATTCCCTCTTCGACGAAGTCATCAACTAGGCTGTACATTCGTGTATTTATAACAAATGGATCGGAAAGTTCCAGAACAATTTCTGGTCAAGGGTCAAACTAGTAAAAATTAAAATTAGGAATTAAGGTGCCATAATAAACAGCGGGATGGATGAAACTCAAACAAAGTAGCACCATAATTACTGAGAAGATTGGCATATTGTGCAACTGGGGGTTAGAAATGTAGAAATAACAACAATAGACAGGGTGTTTGGATAAAAAATCTGGTGGGGGGTCATAACTAATGTGAGGAATAATTGTTTATGCAATCAGGGATTAAATATGTAGGAATAATAAAGTGACAAAATAGACAGGAAGTTCGGATATAAAAATATGGTAGTGTAAATAGGGATTAAGAAAAACTTAAAAATAACATGAATAAACAAGAAGTTTAGCTAAGAGGGGCAATGAGATAGTCATTACTAAAAGAATTACCTGTTTATGATGGCCATGGGAGGAAATCCTTTGTAAACGCCGCTCCCCGAACAAATCTCTGAGGAAAACATACCTCGCCGCGAGCCTACAACTCACGTTTTCCTGCAAGAAACTGTTCAGCCAGAAGGTGAAAGACAAGCTGTCGCATTGGGCCACTTCAGCGTGCATACACAAGTTTACTTGCTCTCGCGGAGCTGAGTACATCAACCGTACCATGCGCCGACTTGAAAAACGCGCTCGTTAACACTATCCAGCCTGGCTAGTGAAAGGAGACCGAAAACGTCTATATAGTTCAGTGACAGAACATCTGGTCAATGCAAGACATTCAGCGCCATGGCCATCATAAACAGGTAATTCTTTTAGTAATGACTATCTCATTGCCCCTCTTAGCTAAACTTCTTGTTTATTCATGTTATTTTTAAGTTTTTCTTAATCCCTATTTACACTACCATATTTTTATATCCGAACTTCCTGTCTATTTTGTCACTTTATTATTCCTACATATTTAATCCCTGATTGCATAAACAATTATTCCTCACATTAGTTATGACCCCCCACCAGATTTTTTATCCAAACACCCTGTCTATTGTTGTTATTTCTACATTTCTAACCCCCAGTTGCACAATATGCCAATCTTCTCAGTAATTATGGTGCTACTTTGTTTGAGTTTCATCCATCCCGCTGTTTATTATGGCACCTTAATTCCTAATTTTAATTTTTACTAGTTTGACCCTTGACCAGAAATTGTTCTGGAACTTTCCGATCCATTTGTTATAAATACACGAATGTACAGCCTAGTTGATGACTTCGTCGAAGAAGGAATTTTCTTCGCTGCAACTATCTTCTTAATAATTTTTGTTCAATTAGCATTTCAAGGGAAAATCTTGATGTATATATCAGTAATATATATATATTTTTTGCTATTAGAACATACTTTAATGCGCCTACTCATTAATCTGTCTTTTCTATTTCTCAGGGAAATTGTTACAGATTTCGATCGTACAATGTCAAAATATCGTCATAACGGGGAAATTATTCCAACATGTCATGGTAGATTAGTTTTCAAATATCTGATTAGTTTTTCTTGTTTCTTCAGGTATTTTTGAATCAGATCCTGAATTAACTGAGACAACAAAATCTCTTGTAAGTCAGTCATTCAGTGTTTAGAGTTGTTCAACCTATTAATGCGTTTAACCTATTTAACTTATGCCATATACCAATGATTGGTTGAGATGTATAGTTGTATTTCATTCACACCAACTAGTAGTACTTGCTTGTCAGACGGGATGGCTATTCCGCTCTTATTTTGAGCCGAGATCATCATCATCATCATTAGTGTATACCCGGTATGACTGAGCTCAAAGAGTTTAAGTCACTTTACAATTTTGTAGAGAATGGTTATAAAGGTATAACAATTTCATACAATCTATCAATCAATCCCTACTGTGTACCACCGTGGGATTATGCTTGTTTTCTTGATTACCAACTATTACAATAGCAAGCAGATTGCATATATTATAATCGGAATAATTTCGTTTGCCAAAGGAAACCTCGAACTGCGTAAACTTGTAAGTGGCGAATTCCCTTATAGATTGAAAGTTAGTTCAATTTGTCACTATTTCGTCGAAGTAGCTAGCAGAGTTCTGGTGATTTGACCTGATTTCGCTCCTTTGAGTTTTTAGTCACATTGGATACACCGTTGACACGAGCACGACCCAAAAAAATGAGGGAAACAGCCTTGTGTGGTGTTTAGATCACTTCGATCTGGCTGGTTAGTGCAAGTGGTATCCAACTACTTATATTAGTCAGTCAGTAGTTTATGGTTGTTTATTCGATGGTTATTTATAGTACAGTCAAGTGTTGGTTTGAAAGGATTTGACTGGCCACAGGATTGATCACGAGTTGACATGGCAAAGTTAAACTTTAGACACCACTAACAACCAATCAGCAAACGACCTTGAACGGACCAGTCACATTAAAGAGGCATATATGATGAATGGAAATGTATATTTGTAGAAAAAAGCATTAAATAGAGAATAAAAATGTTACATGGGATATCTTTCTCGAACATGTGAGAGAAAATCGGTGACTCTAAAGAATAGCGGCCCAAACCGAAACGACCTTTTAACGCAAAAATGACCTTGACAGGGACAACTTCGGCCAATGAGAAGGCTCAAAAAGGAAGGCGCATAATTGTAAAAAACGGTTTATATAAAAGTAATGCAATCATAATAAACAGTTACAAAGGATGGCGCTCGCGTATATGTCTCAAAAAAACCTCCCAGTTTCTCATGGGAGTCTTCATAGTCATATGAAACCAGTTTCGGTACATAAATTCATCCAGGTAACTGTAAATCATGGGATTTCTCGATCCATTAACCGCTCTTATACGTCTTTTTAGACGACTCCTAAAACTTTCAATCGAACTGGTGTGTGTTCCATCTAAAGGATTCCGGAAACCGTCCGTATGATTAACAACATGATGAATGTACCCATGATTCGATAATTGACGGTATCCACTCCATTCATCTGTATGAATAGTCGTCCCCGGCAACACCAAACGCTTCATAATAGGCACTAATACTGCTGCACTGAGACTGGGAATCGCTTCTATATACCCTTTGCGCAGTGTCGTGTCGTAGATACCCAGTATCCACTACTGGTTTGCTTGTAATCTCCCACGGTTGTATTTCCTTTTTATAAGTACAGTCTCATCGATATGGACTATGCTGCCGACTCCTCCGAGAACTTGAGTCAGGGTGTTCATTTTTCAGGAGGAAACATCTCTGCAGTAGTTGTACCATTGCACTGCTGACACCTCTGAATTTTCTGTTTTATAAGCTGTAGCTGTGACTGCTCTTTTCAGGACCCAGAAGTTACAGATCATTAAAATTTTCGTCAAAGGTAGTTTAGACCTTGAGAGAAAACTTCCTAAGGGATCTGTAAACTAAAAAACAACGACAAACCTTCTCGAACCGATTTCTTCCTTCGGCACTCAATACATCTGTATACAAAGCCATCAATGGCTTCTGTCTATTTTTGTATATGCATAACTCCTCCACATTGGCAAATTTTCGACAAAGCTATCAGTCCGTTATCCAAAAAGTAATCGAAAACATCCATGATTACTTACGAAAATGATACAGTCAGCTGATTCCTTCCTCAAGGTCACTTTTTTGTTCGAAGGTCGTTTCGGTTTGGGCCGCTATTCTTTAGAGTCACCAGAAAATCTCCCAGTTTAGCATGGGACTGCCAATGGAGAAGTTACACCATATCCTGTACATATATTCATCCAAATAACCATAAATGAGATCCTTTTGAGATCCATTTATAGCCCTTATCCTATTTTTCAACCTGCCCCAAAATCCTTCAATAGAATTTGTATGTGTCCTTGTAACGGGATCCACAAAATCACTTGAATGGTTGACTCTATGATGAATATATCCCAGAGATGACAGTGAATTGTAGCCTTTCCACTCGTCGGTGTGTATAATTAACCCCCACTTAACAAGTCTGGTAATAATAGGTATAAGAGTAGTTGCTTTTCTATCTGCTATCCTTAGGGAGAGAAGCGACCTAGCGAAAAAAGTTCCTACGAAATATTAAAGTTATCAGCTTACTCTCTCTAGCGTTAGTAGGCTTCAAACATATAGCACAACGATGAACAAACCCATCAGTTGATTTGGTATAGCTTTTTAAAGTCGTGATACCGCCACACAAACAAATTCGCTATTTCCGGCGCAACTCAAATCCAGGAAATACTGGAAAACGCTAACCTCTCGAATTGCAACAATAGCTTTGTAAGGTCACGCATTAGAAATGAATCAAGCGCTATAAAACATTGAACTGCGTTCGTGAACCTCATTGGATAATTCGATATCGTTCGTGAATCTCATTGGCTAATTCGCTGATTGATAGTTAGTGGTGTCGAAAGTTTAACTTCGCCGTTGACATCAGTTAGTGACAGAACCATTGAAAACCAAGACAAAACTAGACACTTGTTTTCATCTAGTTTGGGACTCTTCATCAGTACCCACTCACTGGAGTTCAAACCCAGCACCTTCCGGTTACGTGGCGAGCTCGCAGACCATTCAACTACTGGGAGCCGACCAAACGTCTGTAAATTCAACCTTCCGCCAATGTCACAGGCGACCAACTGTCCTCTTGCATGACTTGGTTAACCCCTCTGGTATCAGACGGACCGCATATTGTAATCTGAATAATTTCGGTTCCCAAAGGGAACTGCGGGTGTAATTTCACCTCGAGTTGTGTAAACTGTAAAAATCGTGAATTCACTTGCAGGTTGCATATTTGACTTACTTGAAACTATTTTTTTCCATATAAACTGTTACATAATCTGTGCAGTATGGCGGATTGATGTGTATCATATTTATATTATGTATATAGCGGTTATTGTTTAAAGTGTATTTCCACTGAATCTCATTATTGTCTTGTCAACAGCTCCGTAGTATTTTTGACTTCCTTTAGTGTTCGGCGTTTAACACCTTTTTGAGAGTTGGTTTGTAAGGATTAGATTTGCTTTTAAGAGTTTGGCCACGAACTGATATCAGTTAGGGAACCATTGTAAACCAGCAGGGAGTAATGGACAGCTATTTTATCCTAGTTTTGGGAATCACCAGCAACATGCACCCACCGTTATCAGGGTTCGAACCCCAGGACCTTACGGTTACAAGCCAAGCCACTGGGATCCGACTCTTCAATGGTCAGCGCATGAATTATAACTTCGAACACCTTGACAAGATCAGACTAGAAAAGTTGTTTCACTATTAGCTCAATTATCACTATTTTACTTTTCAAATGTAGACGAAATAACACCTAGATGCCTTTTGAGGGTGTTCAGTGTCTTTCTTTATATTTTCAATTACTAATGATGAGAATAAAATATTCATCTTTATTCTTTCTTTTTCTTTTTTCTTTCGTCTCATTCTTCTATAAAATTAGTTGATTGAATTACGGAATAAATATTATCCTATTGAAATGGATATTAACCTAAAAGAAAGTGAAAAAATTCCACATATGATTGAATGGTGGGAGTCAGCACATCAAGCCATAGTTGACTGTGGTATACATAAGTATACACTTGAGAAAACAGTTAAAGAAAGTCGTTTAGTTTTAAGGTGAGTTATAACATTTTTTTTAGATTTATAGTTTTTCAACTACTAAGGAGGTGTATGATCTCTCCTCTAAACACCTTTGTGTAAGGGATATTTTAATGAAGGGATTCTTTGGAAAACTTTTCTGCCTATATCAGAAGTATATTTCAGTTAATTTCTGTGGGTTATTTTGTAGACTTGGTGGTGCTACATTGTCGAATAGTTTAGCTGGAATGATTGGTATAAATGATCGTTAATGGAAATTTGGAAGGGTTCACCTTGTACCAGTAGGGAATATAGGGTTTAATGTTTTAAAGAAATCAATAGTGTATGAAATGGCTATGTGGATCATTTGCCATGTGGATGGATCTTTCACTTTATAGTATTCCTTTCTTAGAGAAGTTAAGTGTTTTGAATGTATAACTCTGGTGCGCCATTGTAACCTTCGTTTACACAGAGACAAGAAAGACAGTAACACCATCATTTACTGAGAATGTGGGTACATTTCTGGTGAGAGCTGTCTGCAAAACAAAATTGTAGATAGCAATCGACGTCAATGTTCACGTCACAAATTGGGGTCATGAGAAAAAAAAACACGAACAAAGCCTGATCTTGAGGAACTCAACAACCAATCACAGCAGACTTTGCGTGGGCGGATACGACTCGCAGATATATCACCGAACTGTCTAAGAAATGGCTGCCAAGAGGTGACAGAATAATCTTCAGCAGGAGAACAACCAGTCAGAAAAGACTGCTTCTCTGCTAACAATAAGGAATAATAATGTACATAAAAATCTATAAATATCTGTTGATTTTCTCAATAAACGATCTGCTGTCTGGCCCTTGTCGGCAAAGTTAGACCTAAGCACCACTAACTACCAATCAACGAGCGATATTCAACGGGCCAATCACATTAATGAGGGGATTTTGATAAAGGAAAACGTATATTTACGAGAAAAAAAACATAAAAACTGCATAAAACTGTTACATAGGGTATCTTTCTCTAACATGTGACAGAAACATCTCCCAGTTTAGCATAGGAGTGTCAACAGAAAAGTCACACCACATTCTGTACATATATTCATTCAAATGACTATAATGAGATCCTTTTGAGATCCATGTATAACCCTAACCCTATTTTTAAATCTTCCCCGAAATGGTTCTATAGAATTCGTGTGTGTCCCTATAATTGCAACCACGAAATCACTAGAATGGTTCACTCTGTGATGAATATATCAAGAGATGACAGCGAGTTATAATCTTTCCAATCATCAGTATGTACTATTGATCCCTTTTTATTGAGAAAATCAAGAAGAATTTATAGCTTTTTATGTACATTATTGTCAGTGGAGAAGCAACCTCTTCTGATTGGTTGTTTTCTTTCTGAAGTTTATTCTATCATACCTTTGTGACCATTTCTCAGAAAATGAAGTCATATATCTGCGAATCATATTTCTACACTTTAACTCCGCTGTAATTGGCTGGTGATTTTCTCAAGGCTAAGCTTTGGCATTGTTTCCCTCATGACCCTGATTTAGGACGTGAACATTGACGTAATTTGTTGTCTACAGTTTAGGCCTGCAGACAGTTCTCACCACAGTATGAGTGAGTACTGATGAAGAGTCCCAAACGAGGGTGAAATAGCTGTCCAGTATTCCCTGCAAGTTTTCCAATGGTCCTCTAACCTATGCCAGTCCATGACAAAATTTTTTCTTCAAAGCTTCGTTTATTTACTCAATGATTTGAAACATTTATTTCTCGATACAAATTTAAATCAAGCAACAGAGGTTCATAAAACAGGTTGTAATGAATTTATTGAATTTTGGTAGAACTCTTCAGTACTCTTCATACAACGATATACATATACTATTAGAAATGTATTGGAGAGATATAAAACTGTTAAATGGACTACGTTGAATAAATCATTCAAAACGACAGGTGTGAATGTTTTTCAGGTCATACTTAGATAGACAGATAAGGAAGAAAAGGGTTTGAGAAATTAAAATTAAGTGTATGAAAACATTTATGAACTATATTTTTTTGACTATAGCTTGATTCCACACCATATTTTTGGTACAAGTATGGGATTTTCAGCATGTGATATCGGTAGTCCAAATTTTGTAGGCCGACCAGGTGTGCATCGGAAGGGGATCGAACCCCGGACCGTGTGCATGGTCGGCGAGAGTCATAACCTCTGTGCCACCGACGCACAAATCGTGGAGGTATCAAATCGTATATTTTCCTACAGATTATTTTGTGAGTACATGACATTTAATTTAAGTTAACAAATAAAATTCAACATAAGAGGATTATCTTAATCAAAAGTGGAGGCATACGCGAACACCATTATTCATATCTGAGTGAAATCACTAACTGTCATTGGTTACGGAACCATTGAAAATCCAGGGGATACTGGACAGTTATTTCATCCTAGTTTAGATGCTTCAGCAGAGTACACATCCATGACCCCACTTGGGAGCGGGGCCCAGATATTCAGATTACGAGGCGATCCGCTTAATTGTTTGGCCACTTGGATGGAATTCAATGTCCTATGAATTCTAACTCTTCCCGATTCTCATTATGTAGTGCCACTTTCAGCTAATTTCACTTGGGATAGTATTTGTCCTTACATCCAACACAATGGACCCGACTGGTCACAACTTCTTCCTAGGACTCTCAGAAACTTCATTCTGCCGTTAGCCCCTAGATAGCACTAGATTGGGTTTCAGGGATTTGATCAGGACCTGATATAGCATTTAAACCTGTAACTGAAGATTTTTCAAACTTTTTCTAGTTCCAGTGGGTTTCTGGTTAGTTAAAAAAAAGATCTACAGCGTTCGCTCCTTTCGATCTTGATTTCTCGAAAAGTGTCTGCAATGTATGTTATGGCATCAAAGTTTGAGTGTTTGCTTTTATAGACACAACTGAATTATAAATTCTTGGAAATTCGGCCTTTCACATGAATAAGATTGTTTTTTTAAATTTATTTTTTTCAATTATAGCTTGATTCCACACCGTATTTTTGGTACAGATATGGAATTTTCAGCATGTGATATCGGTAGCCCAAATTTTGCAGGCCGACCATAGATATCAGGTGTGCGTCTGCAGGGAATCGAACCCCAAACCATGTGCATTGTCGGCGAGAGTCCTAACCACTGTGCCACCGACGCACTCTATGATGCGTGTCTTATATTTTAAATAGTCCTCTGATGTTGGATTTGATCTATGCGGAGTAACAACTGTGTTACCGTTCACAATTTTGGAGTATTTTGTGAAAACAATTCTTTGGTTAGTTAATTTTACTCCCTAAAAATTTCAGTACAGTATGTATGTTGAATTGCGCGCAATTTCATGCTACCTTGTTTCGCCTACTTTAATTTTATTTTCTCATATTTTTAGGGAGAAAGTGGATAGTTTTCTTCAATTGTTACATAACCACAATATACCTGTTTTGGTTTTCTCTGCTGGACTTGGTGATGTTATTGATTTATTTCTACATCATTCAAATGTTCATTATGATAATATGCGTGTTGTATCGAATTTTATGCAATTTGATAATGATGTAAGCATATTACCACTATTACTATTATTATTCTGTCAGTAGAATTTGTTATTTTTTTGTCTAAGCATTAATATTATTGACCATTTACCACCTCTTAGATGCCTAGTAAAATTAAGGGTTTCGGAAGCACATCTACATTTCAATCTGTTCTCCAATGTCTTTCCAAGCTGGTGCTCCACATACTGTCATTTCCCTTCACATTATCTCCTCTAAGTCATCCACGGATCTACGCCCAGCTCATCGTTTCCCGTCCCAGTGCCACTCGACAGCCTACTTACCGTAATAGATTCTTGGTTGACTCCCCGCCAGAGTTCCTGGTTGCTTGTCCTTTCTGAAATTTAATCAGTAGCTGGCTTTGATCTGTACTCAAGATGAGATGGTCTTCTGGAAATGATAAGTGACAAGAGACTCTCTCAACGAACCAACCAAGAACCTGTTGTCCAGTGAATGTGACGAATAAAACAGAAATGGTTTGGGCATATGCTGTTAAAACCGTTGAGTGATATCGCACACAGACTGTCGAATGAAACTAGAATGGAAAGCCGACTAATTGGGCGTGTGCGTTATTGTGTGACACTGAAGAAATCGTGTGAAAAAGAAATGAAAGCCTATATATAGTCAATTATGGAGACAGCTAAAAGAGACTGCATTAGTTAGGCAAGGTGAATTGAAGATGGGTTTCTGAAGTCCTACAATCCACTTGCAACCAAAGGGAATAATATAATAATAATAAACAAAGCGTACACCTCCGCATGTGGCTCAACCTTACAGTCAAAGACTTCAGCATTGATTGACGTCATATTTCGATTTGGGTCAGATTGAGCTGACTGACCGAGTTTTAACATCGAACTTTGCACAGATGTGCAACAGTTCTAGTTGCCACATTCTATGTAGTACACAAAAGTAGAGAGAAATTTAAAAAAAAGTCAAAAAATCAGATCCAAGTAGCTGAATGGTCTACGAATTCGCCTTGTAACCGGAAGGTCCTGGGTTCGAGCCCCAATAAGTGCGTACTGTGAAGAGCCCTGAACCAAGGTCAAACAACTGTCCAGCACTCCCTACTGGTTTTCCAATAGTTCTCTCTTTCTCTAACTGATGCCAAATCGTGATCAAACCTGTAGCCAATCAAATCTCTGCAAATTAACACTTGATAAGAACACTTGATAATGAACAAAGAAAGAATAATTACTTGGAGACACATAAACACTTAATGGGTACGAGAGATTACGAAGAGTGAATGCATCTGCACTAGTGAGAACGATTTTGAGCCATATCACTAACAAGCACAAAACATTGGTTCTTTAATATTTCTAGAACCCCAAACAGACAGTATACACCTCCCTACGTGGTTGGTGCAAACCATCTGTCAAAAGCTTCATGAGTTCAACCCTAACTCTTTTTCAACGTAACCCGTTGTCGGCTGACATTGTCTGTTGGGGAGGGAGGCGTTGGCTTAGAATGTGTTACACGTTTCCTACCCATCTCAGTTGATGTAGTTTCACAACCTTGTCGACTGAATTCCTTTTCTTACTCAGCAGTACTACACCTAACCTCACCATACTATACCATTTAACATGAGAGATAGGAAGCAAAGACCTTTGCTCAAAGACGCTTAGTCTTTTCATATATATTTCACTTTCAATGGCCATGTCTCACAATCGTAAAGAATATAAAACAGAGAGGAAAACAAAATGAGAATAATATAATCAAGTGTCACAGAAAGAATTGGGGGAAAGTGAGGGGAATAAATGAAAACAGAATGTGATGTGTCATAAATTGAGGTCGATGGGCTTGTTTTCTTCCTGTTTTAACACTTTGTTATTATTATTGTTTCCTTTAATTCCTAGAGGAAGATAGGGTTTCAGCTTCACGTCTCCGTTGTGTTCGGTTCTCTGCCAACGTTTTCACCTGGCTCCACGTCTCCCCACATGCTTCCATTTCCTCTTCGCATGACCTCCCCCATGTCAACCTCGCACTGACGACCAACTCTCCGCTTCCCATTCAGTCGGGTTCCACTCGAGCGATGGCCTGCTGTATGATGTCACTCACTTGATGGTTTTCTCGGAGTATGTCCAATCCACCTCCACTTCTTCCTGCATATTTGTTACACAATTGGTTCCTGCTGGGTTGGTTGGTTCGCTCCCATCTGATTTTGAGTAGTAATGAGCGAAGACAGCTGTAGATGAAAGTGTGTAATTTATTTGAAGTGCCCATCGGGACGCGGAGCCAAGTTTCTGATCCGTATAGGAAGTAGCACTGATTTCACTTTGGAGTTGAAAATCCGGATCTTATTTTCTCATGCTGAAGAGTGCTGCTGACTTCCATACAGACTTGAGAGAAATGAAAGCTTGCCTTGCTTTCCTGATCCTTACGTTACGCCATGTTGTTTAAAAAAATAGAAAATAAACCATTTTCTGCAGTTTTTAACACAAATTATTTTTAAAACCGCCAGTCGAGACGTATTCTATTTAAAATTAATATGTATAAAACTTTGGCACTGCGACAGTGTGTAATTACATATTATTTTTTGTTTATTGGATATATACCACACGGTGAAACAGTATTATTATTATTGGATAAAAAAGTTTCAAATATAATTTACTGCTCATAATCGTATCAGCAATCGTACCTACACAAATTTGGAACTTAATTCTTATAGTTCTTATTTCACCTTCTTATTAGTCTTAAGATTGGTAGAGAGTTTTCCAGATGTTCAGGAGAGATATAGACTCATTTCTATTGCGCCTTGTTCTGAGTTTATTCTATATGCAACACTTCAGTTATCAATGTTTCCCTCCATCCTGTTACGTTAGATTGTAAGACTGAGTTTGCATTGAAACTGATATGTATCCACATATATATATTTATGTGTGTGCGTGTGTATGTTGGTCTCTCTTTCTGTTTGCTCGCTTAGTCTGTGACCATTTCACTTGTATGAACCTGTCTCCTTTAACAATGTATATTCCCCCTATATTATATATAATATGAGTGTTTGTTGACAGTCTGTTGCTTGGTGACATATATCCATATTATATGTGTGGTTGTTGACATGTCTGCTATATTTTGTTATGTATATATGGATCGATAATAATTTTTTAAAATAATTTTTCCTTCACGTTCCCAGTGGAACATAGGGCTCCAAGCTAGTGGCTTGAAGTTTCTGTAGCAGTGTTTAATTTTTACAGGATGGGGTCGCTAGCCTCATGCCCAACCTTTCCTCTTTACCAGCATTATTTCTGGCTCAGTGAGGTAAAGGAGTGCGCCGGCCGGGGATCGAACCCCGGACCATATGCATGGTCGGCGAGCGTGCTAACCGCTATACCACCGACGCACATATGGATCGATACTTCATTATAATTAGCCATTCATGTTAAGACTGTCTATTGATTGTTCACACACTTGTCTGGATGGTTATATATATATCGCTCAACAATCTTGTGTGACTGACTTACTTATTTTTGGTGTGATACCACTTATTGCTTCTCCTTGTGTTTGGAAAATAGAAGTATCATCGCAAACCTAGTGGTCTTCTGATTTCCGCCTTCTTGCGTCAGGACTATTAGTTTCTCGACCAGTACATAACAGAAACCCATTCATAATGAGATGACATCAGTTGGAGAACCATTGGAAAGCCTGAAGGGAGTATTGGACAACACTGTTTTGTCGTGGCTCCTTGAGATTCCTCAGCAGTACGCATCCACAGCCACGGTTCGAACCCAAGACCTTCTAGTCACAAAGCTAGCGAGCTCGTAGACCATTAAGCCAATGGGACTCTATCCAATGGCCATTCCATGAATTCTAAATACTGCTAATTCACAATATGGCGCGATCACTTCACAATGTCTTCTTCAACGGTGGGTGCGTACTGTGACGAGTCCTAAACTAGGAAGAAACAGTTTTCCAGTACTCCCTGTAGGTTTTTCATTGGCTCTCTGATCAATCAAACAAAATCCCTACGTAGCCAATACTTGCAAATTATGTTGGTCACAAGATCCCATGGAGCCTACTAAATAAAATAATTTAGTGTCTATCGAATACCTTGCATTGATTATAAGGTCAAATAATGCATAGATTGAACTAATACAACAGGGTCAATCAGATTACCAGAGCATGAAAGACTAACAAAATCTAGATTAATTTACTCTAATAAGATAAGAAATCTCAAGAAAAATAGCTCGTCTACAGCACTACACACATACAGCTACATACAACCATACATTAAGATGGGATAGTCTTGAAATCTAATATAGGAAGGTTGCCAAGAAACTTAACCTTAAGTTCCTATTATTTGCGAAAATGCTCCGAATCGATAACTACTACGATCGTCAATTATCGACTTTAACTCCAAAACACCAGTATTTGCTGTAGCTTATATTGTTCGGCAATTAAAATCGAAAATGATACAGAAGTCTATAAACAAGTGTTTAAAATTAAATATACTGTACTTTTATTCGTATTTTTTTAGTCTTCTTCCAACTTGTACACGACTGAATCATTTGTACCTTCGAGTTGACCGCCAATGGCTACCAAGGCCAACGAACCAACGTTCAATGTTCACGTTCTTTTACAAGGGTAGAGGGGGAGAGATTAATAACTAAAGTGTTATATATCAAATCGACTATAAATGAGATTATAGGTTTCCAGACCGTAGGTGTTACGAATTTACTGGAATAATTTGAGCGCCGAGTCAGATTGATTCATTATAAATTATTTAAATTTAACACGCTCGGATTAATTTAAATAATTTATAACGACTATAAATGATTTAAAATCTCTCTCTGAGACATCTGGAGAATTCTACTACCTCTAAGACAAGTGAAAAACACAAGGTCGAGGAGTATAAAACTCAAGTTTCGAAATTGTATAGTTACAATTGATGTGATGTAGTTTTGGAAACAACAACTTTGTTATTCGGTAAACGATTCTGTTTCACTGTGTTATATGATATATACGATAAAAAAATTAATATGGTATTTTCAATCATTGGTTTTTTAGAGATTTTGCTTGATTCGTTTGAGGACTCTATCATGAGCTGACATCAATTAGAAGATCACTGGTGTGGATGCGTGCTGATGAGGAGTCCCAAACTAAGCAGACGATACAGCTGTCCAGTACTCCCTGCAGGTAATCCAATGGTTCTCTAACTGATATCAGTTCATGATGAAATCCTCCAACTAATATGGAATTCACGTGCTCTATTCCTTCTTATTCTCCTGTATTTTGAATTCTTTTGAAAGGGTAAACTGACTGGATTCACTTCACCAATTATTCATATATTCAATAAAACAGCTAATATTGTTGTAAATAATGGTTTACCGAAACGACCAAATGTTCTCCTACTTGGTGATTCAACTGGTGATATACATATGGCAGATGGAGCGACAATTGATGATCCTACTGGACAACTTGGTACTGTACTGCGTATTGGCTTTTTAAATGAAGGAGTAAGCCATGTCGAGTTTCAAGGGATTTTTTATTTTTGTGATAGTATTAAAATGTTGATGAAGTCTTTCTTTTCAAGTGTGTTGGTTGGTTGGGATTTCAAGTTTGAACTGCATTGGTAGAAGTTAGAATTGATAGGTCATCGAATTTCGACCTAGTGATTGGATGGTCAAAGAACACTCGTGTGACCTTAAAGGTTCTGGGTTTGACCTCTATTGGGATGATGGGTACGTACTGCTGGCCAGGTACTACCTGGTTTTTAATCGTTCTCTAACTGATGTCAATCTCTGATCAAACATTCTTTGTTATTAACTCCAATATTTAACCAATAGCTGGCATTCAACTCCCCGAAATAAAGTTTGCTTGCATTAGGATATCAGCTACAGACTTCTGGTTTGAGGACTGGAGACAATGCTCGTTCGTTAGATTGCAGGTGGATTTTGTTTCAAACCCCGAGACCAGTTGGTTGAATATGGAATATTTAAACTAATTAGCTGCATCACTATAGAACTAAATAAGTGTCTTAATAATGAAGTGTCTTCAAGTGTATATTTTTGAAATATCCATGTTATGATAGAATGCTAGCCAGTCACATGGCGGAGGAGGTCTAGGTTTGACTTCCTGCGGGGCCCATTCCTACGCCTGACCTGGTTCACTAGCCAACCGACAGTATAGTAAGCGTGGAAAAGTGGTCAGGGTGGGTGTGAAGCTGTAAAGCTGGAAACCCTTTGTATCACTCGGAACAGAAGGATCTTTATGAGAGGTACAGCTTTAAAGAATACTGTACACTTATTTCACGTATTAAAATTACTGACCACAAGTGACTATCCGATTTTGTTGAGAAGTAAATCTGAGTCCTAATTGCGTACTACTGAAGAGTTCGAGGCTAAGACGAAACAGCTGTCCAGAACTCCCTAGTTTTCTGTAGTCATTTGGTGGCCAAAAGTTAAAACAGTTAGATTCCTACTAAGTAACACTTGGAAACTAATCTGACGCTTCAAAAAACTATTTGCTACTGAATGATTGTGATAAGTACTTGTATACCGATCACATCAACCACTAGTTCTCGCTAGATAAATTGAAGTGATCGAAACACCGGATAGGCGTTTCGCCTATTTGCGGCTAAGCTCATTGCGGTCTGAATAATTTCGGTTTCCAGGGGAAACTGTTGGGAAATCTCACCTTAAATTGTATAGATTGCAAATCAATTTGTGAACTATGAATTTGGTGTAACAAGTGTTGATTTTCAGGGATTTGATCAGTTAAAGAACCATTGGAAAACCAGAGACCCTTCATCAGGATGCAGGCACTAAGGTTCGAAACCAGGCAAGCGCAGTCCACCAAGTCAAGTAAGAAGAACAGTTACTGCTCTGTGACATTGACAAGCGGTTGCGTTATGTATTGGAAGTTGACAGAAATTAGATTTTATGGGTCATTGGATTGGGTTCCAGTGGTTGAATAGTCTACGAGCTTGACTTCGGGTCCGAAGGTCCTGGATTCAAACTCCGTTGTGTGCGTACTGCCGATGTGTCCCTAAGTAGAATGAAACAGCTGTCCAACGCTACCCAGGCTTTCAATAGTTCTCTATCTGATATCAAATTGTGATAAAACTTGGCACCAATCAAACCCCTACAAAATAACTCTTAGGATTTTTATAATCCCTGCACATGTGGAGATGTAGTTCCACTAGTCAAGACTATATTTTCAATCAAACTAACCTACTGGTTTAAATCTCCGCTTTACATATCGGCGATATAACGGTTAAATGCGGTATAGTCTGGTTAAATATCTATCTCATCTAATCTAATATAAACCTAAAGGTTAGTTATGACAATGATCTTATCTATTGTCGATTGACTGATTGATGTTATCAATTTTACAGTTTAAAGCTGACACGCGTGTATTTCATCCGTCTAGTCTTGTGGTGAAAATAAAGCTTTTTACACATTTAAAGTTCAAAGTTGTGTGAAACTTCATTTTTGTGCGAAAACACCGTTAATATCATATATTGGTATTTATTTTGTTTAGGGCTTATTTAAAAAAAACTTTTTCGCGTAATACGATTATAGAGAATGAACTTTAGGTTTTTTTGAACGTCATCTGGTAAATAAAACTGTATCTTTGATTAAACACTCTAGGTAGTAGCTAGCTAATCTCATGCGTCTAGTCCATTGTGTGTGTGTGTGTAGTGTAGACCAAAATTCTATCGTCAGTCAAGTTTACAATGTGGTTGGTCGTCACGGTGCACTCTGAATTGCTATTTGGTATTAGATAATTGGAGGCAGTCGTTCTGGGTTTCGTGTTTGTTGACATTCATCAGTCAGCAAGGCTTACCTGCAGTCTTAAAGAGGCTCTCAGACTGTTCCCTCTAAGATTCGAGCCTGTGTCATTCATTGGTACTGTCAAAGGTGTTACCACTGAGCTATTCGGCCTCGCGACTGATCTCCTGTATGACTGTATTGGATACTTTCATTGGAGACTAGCTAGAAATTAACACTAGTGTTATTCGTCCAGTCCTTTGTTTATATAGTAACTAGACTAGTAGTATGAGTGAAATTCATACAACTAGTTCCTTTGACAAACTTGAACCAAAGCAAGAAGAACATACTGAACAGGACAAAATGATTTCATTATATTTCATTGAATCTCGCCAGCTGCATAAACCCATAAACAATCTAATATCAATATAGCGAAAATATTTAGTCAGACATCTGTAAAACACAAAAAATAATTGAGTAAAGAATATCCTTTTCGATAAATTCCTCTTCTGGCTCTACAGTCATATATATATGTTTAGATACGTAGAATATTCTAGAATATTAGTCAATAACAATATTAGTGATTTTTTAAATAATATCAATTTGTAAAGTAAGATCAATGGAATTAAAGTTCATGAAAGATGCTCAAATTACATTAATAATAAAGATATAATAGCAAATAGAATATCAACTAAAATTAGGGAGATTTCCACAAAAATTAAGGATCATTCAAACCTAGATGGCCAAGGTAATGATAATGTCTGAACTAGCTTCTTTTAGACACATAAGTTAGGCTTCTTAATATGGATCCCAACAGTCTGCCTCAGTAATATTTAGTAATCGAACTCTTAAGGCGAAGTTAAGATTTGTTGGTATGGGGTAAATGACTTTGAAAGCCACCTCATTGACATCAATCTTTTGTTGTGTATCCACAAGATGAGATAGAATAGCACTACGAATAGATTTTGTTTGTCCTTTACTTAACCATCAGAAAGCAGGGTGGTGTTGAGAAATCCGACGATAAACACATGCCTAATTGTACGGCCTATGCAACTAACTGGCTCACTCCACAGGAGCAGTTTAATTGGTAGATACACATGGAAGAGGCGAAATCAGGCAGTTTATTTTTTACTCCTTAACTTAAAAGAGAAGTGGTTTTGAAGACACAGGGTAATTCAATAGCAGGGAATGCTCTTTTTAACCGTATGTCTAAGGCGTTGTTTTAGTATCTCACTGATGTTGTCCCCGAGGAACTGAATAAGGCCTTCTTATGAACTGTTGGTACCTTGGGCTGCCTTGATTTTAGATTCGTATTCTTATCGATAAACTTTTCTTGATCAACGTTTTCACTCAGCAACCGTTTAATATTATTAAGTTCATTTATCCGAGAAGATTGCTCTTGCTATGTGAACCAAGCACTTCATTAGAAAAAATCAGTATACTGACCAGTTGATGCAGGTTTTTCTATATATACAAAAAAATATTCAAATACGTAAGTTATTGATCACAAAGGCAAAGAATATTATTAATACCATGTGACTAATTAGCATAATGGAAGGGAATAAGAATTGTTGTTAAGCTCGTTAGTATATACAGAAATACCCAAGGACTGTTCTATAATAACGAATGGAGGTGTAAAATCAAGGATACACTTACGCAAGGGTTAAATAATTCAGTAGTTGAACAAAGGTCAAAAAAGGCATCCAGACACAACTTTGTGGGGATTATTGATGTCTCACGCATCATGTCGATTGTTCGATTACACCTTTTTTGTCCACAACAGATTTGAGAATGTGTAGGATATTTCTTATATCTGATGTGTTGATTGTTACCTCAGAACTTTATTCTTTTGATAGACTGTAGAATGTAAATTCGTTGAGCGGAATGATCATTTCGTTTGCTTTAGTAATTACGTCACACATTCTAATAGATATTTAGACTTTAATTCATCTCATCCGTTAACTGTTAAGGCAGGCTTAGTTAAGTGGTGTCTAACAAACCGAGCAGTAGCACTAAGTAGCACAAAAAAGATCTAAATGGTGAAATAGAACAGATAGAAGAGGCGTTGGTGTTAAATAACTATCCTATAAAATTCATTAGAAAGATCGGAAAAGGCCAAAAGCAAAATAAAAATAATTGTGAAACTAGTAATGATTCCTCCCATTTATGCTGGATGATTGTTGTCTTTTGTTGGTGCTGTTGGCCAGGAATCTTCAACACATACCTCTGTCTTCTCTATGTTCACCTGAAGTCCTATCTTCTCTGGATGCTTCTTCTGCAAACTTGTTGCTTTTCACTTGCATATCTTCGAGTTTATGAGAAATCAGACATATATCATCGGTGAAGTCCAGATCCTCCAAGTTGTTTTTTGTGTGAGTCCATCTTATGCCTATTTCCTCATTGCCCGTTGTCTGTCACATTATCCAGTCTACTGCAATCAGGGAAATCATTGGCGATAGTAGGCAGCCAGTTTGTCTTACTCCCGCCTTTACCTCGAAGGATTCCGTAAGTTTTCCGTTGTGGATTACCTGGAAAACTTACGGGCTAAATTATTAAATTATTAATAATTAAATAATTTATTATAATTGCATTACATTGTTCGACATTGTTTTCTTTTCCACCCACCCTATCCTTCACACCCCCCCCTCACACTTAGATTGAAGAAAACTTGGAAAGATTTCAATCTGTTTATGATATTGTTCTTGTCAATGACGATACATTTAATATCCCATTGAAAATTATTCAAAGTATCCTGTTACACGATGATTAGTGGAAGTAAAAGCGCTAATGAAAGAGAATCACACTCATTCTTCATTTATTCGTTTATTTTTAGATTTTTTTTTAAAAATTCTATTTTATTACTGTAATTTGTTAATATTATTATTATTATTACCATAGTGATTTGTGATCTGTGAAATCAAATAAAATGGAAACTATTATTATTATTATTTGTTTTAATTTTCAATGAAATTACTGATTTCCTCAGCGTATTTTATTATTTTTTCTGCGTTTTTCTATGGGTTTGTGTTGAAGTGTACAAAACAAGAGTGATGAATATTCTTTTTCCTTTTATGATTCATCGACTTCATCAAGCAGCCAACCCATCTATTACATTTGTCTAATTAGTTAGTTGGTTCATTATTCAGTTCTGTGCTATCCCCATCAACCCTTTACCCCCCTATCCTAGCCGTGGATATTTATTTCTTACTATTGTCCACCTTCCCATCTATCTATCCATCCATCTATTCGTTGATAGATTGCTACACTGGTATGCAATAATAATGACAATTATTATTATTATCATTATCGTTATTACTATTTACTATTCGGTCACCTTATATTAAATTAACACATTAATAAAGAACATGTGTAATCACATTTTTCTTTCGTGTGGCTAAAACTTTAAATTCTCCTCTTTGTTTTCAAATTTCTCTCCCTTCATTTTCCTTCTTTTCATTTTTCCCGCTCAATATATATTATTTGAAAGTTATACTGGATTATTGAAACATTGGACAAACAAACAAACAAATCAATCAATCAACCAATAAATATTCATATTTATTCGCTTAGTGGATGGAGTGTTGTAAACTTACAGACACACACACACACACAGACATACACTTTTCCTTCTTCCTCTTCGTCACGTGCTAGACGTTATCAATTAGTTGGTTGATGAAGTGTTATCATCACAACATATATATCTGGCAAAAAATATATTTGCTATTGTATATTTTTACAGTTAAATAATCATTATTTGATTCTATTCTTCTACCATTTTCTGTTTTCTATTAAAATAGATTTAAAATGATGTCCTTTATCTTTTTTAAAGATGTGTATAAAGAAAACAAATCTGTCTTCAATAAATTGATTAACAGAATCGAGTTATGAGTGTGTGAATTTTTATCAGTTAAGTCTTTTTTGGTTCAATTCATGGATAATCTCCATCCAGTTATCAATGTAAACAAAACACATAGATCAGCGAAGAGTCTCCTTTCAACAGCAAATACATTTTCTTAGCTGTACAATCGCAAATATATATATGTAGTTCGGCGATGATATCTCTAACTGCAGTAATGAATGACATGAGTTCGAAAATTCGAGAGAAAGAGAGGGAGGAAGAGTATCATTTCCTTCAAGGTTGCACAAACAAACATGCACACACACACGTACATACCTTACTGACCAGTATCACAATAAGCATACAACTTAAAATATACAACATCTCATCAGCCATTATCTCGAATCAATCACCTAACATCCATTCATACTGAACCAAAAAGACGTAGATCAGCGAAGAGTCTCCTTTCGACAGCGAATTCATTTTCTTAGCTGTACAATCGCAAATATATGTGTCATTTTGTGTGCATGTGTACATTAAGTTTGTCAAACAAAATTACAATTGGTTATGGTTATTTTAACTAAACAGGTGAAGATTGGTAATACAAGTCAAGAAAATTAGGTCTTAATGAAATTAGGGTAGTAACAAAAGTGATGAGTTGTCACAAACAGTTGTTAAAAGAAGTTATGTAATAATAATATGAATAGTTTGATGAGTGAGTTTTACTCAGGATGCACATACAAACAAAGTAGATAATACGAAATTCTGTAAGAGATCTAAGTGAATATAAGAATTATAAGCAATTAAAGAACAGATAAAGAAACAAAATTAAGTCATCAAAATAAAATAAAAAACTCAAATCAAAAAAGTTGTTACCATGACAGTAGAAGTGGTTGAGTAATCTTCTTTTGTATTCACAGCTCCAATTTTTCTATGTAAATGGCCAGAGCTTCAGCGACACAAAGAAGACGAAACCGAATTGCCTTTGATAGGTTAATCCTGACTTTGTAGATTACTTTGAAGGAGGCGTTTGTTGAGATGAAATGATTAGTGTTAACCAGGTGTTCAATTATCACCTGGATATATCAGTTCACCTGTTGTGGTGGAGCCAGCCACATCGGTCGTTCGACGAGCATCCTGTCCAAGAGGATTCAAGAACACTATCCAGCATGGTTGCGAAAAGGCAATGGTAGTGCAATAAGGAGTGCGACAACTGAACACCTGGTTAACACTAATCATTTCATCTCAACAAACGCCTCCTTCAAAGTAATCTACAAAGTCAGGATTAACCTATCAAAGGCAATTCGGTTTCGTCTTCTTTGTGTCGCTGAAGCTCTGGCCATTTACATAGAAAAATTGGAGCTGTGAATACAAAAGAAGATTACTCAACCACTTCTACTGTCATGGTAACAACTTTTTTGATTTGAGTTTTTTATTTTATTTTGATGACTTAATTTTGTTTCTTTATCTGTTCTTTAATTGCTTATAATTCTTATATTCACTTAGATCTCTTACAGAATTTCGTATTATCTACTTTGTTTGTATGTGCATCCTGAGTAAAACTCACTCATCAAACTATTCATATTATTATTACATAACTTCTTTTAACAACTGTTTGTGACAACTCATCACTTTTGTTACTACCCTAATTTCATTAAGACCTAATTTTCTTGACTTGTATTACCAATCTTCACCTGTTTAGTTAAAATAACCATAACCAATTGTAATTTTGTTTGACAAACTTAATGTACACATGCACACAAAATGACACATATATTTGCGATTGTACAGCTAAGAAAATGAATTCGCTGTCGAAAGGAGACTCTTCGCTGATCTACGTCTTTTTGGTTCAGTATGAATGGATGTTAGGTGATTGATTCGAGATAATGGCTGATGAGATGTTGTATATTTTAAGTTGTATGCTTATTGTGATACTGGTCAGTAAGGTATGTACGTGTGTGTGTGCATGTTTGTTTGTGCAACCTTGAAGGAAATGATACTCTTCCTCCCTCTCTTTCTCTCGAATTTTCGAACTCATGTCATTCATTACTGCAGTTAGAGATATCATCGCCGAATTATCCAGTCACAAGGCTTCCTGTGGACTTGCTAAATTATATGTTTGGCGTCAGCAGCATTTCTCTAATTCACTCAGTTCAGAGCTGTCTATTTTCGCTGCTTGCTTGGCAGTTTCCCTGAGACTCTCATTTCCTTTTCACACGTTCTTCTGTGTGTCCTTTTCAGACACACGGTCAACTCGTCGTTTCCCATTTGCGTTTCACTTGGGGACCAGCTCGGCGCTTAATGCCACTCAGTGGCCTTCTCAGCGTGTGTTCAATCTATTTTCATTTTTTTAGCATATTTCTTGTTGCAGCACTGTGCAGTAATATTTTACTGATGACCGACTTTTGGGCAAAATTTATGGCTGCTTATAATCATATCAGGTAAAGCATTCCTGTTAATTTAGAATAATAATAATAATGATTTACTTTATTCCAAAAACAGTACTTGTGATACAGAATGGAATTTTCAGCATTGATCACAATATTGCATCTAATTTCCTCAAATTATAAATAAAAAATTAACCACACAGAAAATTCTCCACATTTACAATAGTGGTAATGTCAAAAACATGCAGCATATAAAATGGAAATAGCAATAATAATGATAACAGCTAGGGTAATAATAATAATAATACAAGTGAAAATTGCCGTGGGCTTGTGCCACACAGTATTGTCAATGTGGTATAGAAATCCTAACATGTTTAAAAATATTGAATATAATGTTCTTTCTACATGCTATGGTGAAGGAAAAAACATAGATTACAGCCGTCATGGAGATAAGTTGGTGTTTGCAATTATGAAAGTAAAACAAACAAAGAAGTAACAGGACCATAAATATAATAGAAGTAATAAAAGTAAAACTTGAAGGTATGTAAGGATGGATGGAGGAAATTATTTATTTACTAGATGAAAGAAGGTTAGTTAATTCTTGCCTGACACTATTTTCATCACATAAAATACATGCCAAGTATGGTATTAGAAGCTAATACTACATCTGTCTCCCCTGTACATTTCAACCTACTGCAACTTCTTTGTATTTCTTTACTCTACTTTTATATCGGTGTTTCTAAAGTTCAACAACCTGAATTAATACAATTTCTCTCAAAGTTTCTACACTAATAATTCAGTCATCCGGTGTTAGTACTGTGCACACTTGTCATAAGAAGCCACTAAGTATTGGAACATGCAAATAATTTTAAAAATAATTTTCCTAACAAAATGCTTTATTTTGAAAAATTGCAAATCTGTGAACGTGAGAAAGAAAATTAGATGCTAATGTGAAGTATATTCATTATCCACCTGAATACCGACTTTTGGATGTTTCATTGAACAGAATTCAGTTACATTATTTGATGACATAACTGGTGAATTGTATTTTGAGAAAGATCAGTTTTCACCTTTATTTTAAGGGATCTAAAACAACCCAATTTATTTTTACAAGTGTAGAGTGAAGAGTGTAGTTAAAGTTAATTAGGCGTCTTCTGAGTCGAGTTTTCCTGGGTTAAAACCCTGGTTGATGCATACTGCTGAGGACTCCCAAACTAGGACGAGACGGTTATCCAGTACTCCCAGGTTCTCTAACTGTTGTCAACTCATGATGAAATCCTCCAACTTATTAAATAAAATTCCATACAAAACCAATACTTGAAAATTAATCTGATGCTCCCTAGCGACTGATCCTATTCAGACAGTTAACCTAGGGTTCTAGTGGGAAGCCGTGGCCGGTAGGTTGCAGCAAGATGAAGGTAAGGCGGTAACTCATCGAAGAAGACATGGCGAAGTGGTTGCGCTATGCCATGAATTAGCAGAAGTTGGAATTCATGGGCTGGCCATTGGATCTAGTCCCAGTGGATCAATGGTCCACGGGCTAGCTCGCCTTCTAACCAGAAGGTTCTGTGTTCGAACCGTGGTGGTGGGTGTGTACTGATGAGGAGGCCCAAAGAGCTAGGATAAAACAGCTGTCCAGTACTTCCAATGGTTCCCTAACCAATGTTGGCTCATGATGAAATCCTCCAACCTTTCCCGTTGATTAACGCGTTTTTGATAGAAGACAGTCTTTTGATTCACGTCCAGCGAATATAGAAGTGGTTGTTTGTATGCTTTGATGAAACTGAATTTTTTTATTTTCATGGAATACAAATGATTTCAAAGTAGACTTATCCCTAAATGACGTCACGTAAAGAACTAATTAAAGGCCAAGAAACTGCATACAGATGCTTTGTCCTAGTAGAGGATATTTCCGTCATGTATGACTATGAATTCAGGATAGATGAAGACATCATTTCTTGAAGTCTGAAGGATAATGTTTGATTACTGAATCGTCAGTGCACTAGTGGTTCCTGAATTCTAGTACTTCTAATTCCTGATATATATTGTAACTGTCATGCAATGACGTTATTATTATTATTGTTCCCTTGGTTTCCTAGTGGAACATAGGGCTTCAACTGCACGTCTGCACTTGCTTCTGTCTTCTGCTGTGCTTTTCACCTGTATCCATGTTAATCCATACTGTTTCAACTCCTCTTCACATGATTTCCTCCATGTCACCATTGGACGTCCCACTCGTCATTTCCCTTTCGGGTTCCACTCGAGGGCCTGACGAGCGGTCTCCTCAGCGAGTGTCAGATCCATCTCCACTTTCTCCTGCATATTTGTTGGGTGATTGGTTCTTGTTTTGTTTGTTCCCAGCCATAGTTTCTTGTTGGTGATTCTTTCCGGCCCGGCCATCTGATCTTCAGTATAGATCCAGCGAAGACAGTTGTTGATAAAGGTCTGCAACAGGCTGTTGGAAATATTCTTTGTGACCCGCCCTCCAAGTTTCTGATCCGTATAGAAGAGCTGACTGACTTGACGTTTGTATTGAAAATCCAACCGAATTTTGTTATTGATGCTGGCTGAGGGACGAAGATTTTCAGATTGGTTTCTGTTGGTTGATGAATAAGTTTCTCACCTACTTGATTCTCGCTCGATTTGACATCCTCGTC